AAAATGGTGGGTACCTTTTTTTTTTTGGGGGGGGGGGGGGGGGCTCTTTCAATAAGGATTGTAGCATTTTGGGGTATATTAGGGGTACCCCTTTTTTGGGAAGTTCTCATGTTTTAAAGTCAACTTCCATATCTTTGCTCCCTTTCGCCTCCTCGGGCAAGTCAAGCGGGGACTGGCGCCAAAGGCGCCCAAAGCTTCGCAGGGAGGCGTGAAGAGAAATTCCCCGGACGATGTCTGCATCTACCTGATTTAGGGTTTAGGGTTTAAGGGTTTAGGGGTTTAGGGGTTTAGGGGTTTAGGGGTTTAGGGGTTTAGGGGTTTGGGGGTTTAGGGGTCTAGGGGTTTAGGGTTCTTTCACCATGGGGCATCGAGTTTTGTGGCTGAGGGTTGAAAAGGCTTAAGGCTTTAAAGGGTTTCAAGTTATTAAGGTCTATTTGCTGGCCTCTAGGACTCGCATCTGCTGCAGCCGGCTCCACTTGCCTCCGTCGCGAATGCCGAACTCACGCGTTTAGGGTTTAGGGTTTAGGGTTTAGGGTTTAGGTTTTAGGGTTTAGGGTTTAGGTTTTAGTGGGCCTAAGGCATGGACCTGGATGCATCTGAACAAGCGAGGTACCCGTCTAAACGCTAGCTCAAAACTGTAGCCCACTGGCTTCCGCGAAAAATATCACCTTGCCGAAACCCTGAACCATGCAAAAGCAGTATCTTCCCCATATGGGCACTTCCCAAAATAGCGGACCCCCAAATATGCCCCCCTAAACCCTAAACCCTAAACCAAAAACCCTAAACCCTAAACCCTAAAACAGTTAGTAGAAACCATGTGCCGAGCCGCTCGGCGCATTGGAGGCCGTCGTGAGGGCCGCCACCAAAGCAGGGGGGCTGTGCTTGGCCTGGGATGGCGTGGGGGCTTTCGCAGGGTTTAGGGTTTCGTCCTCAGGGGCCTTAAACCCTAAACCCTAAACCCTAAACCCTGTCGTTGTTCTTCCCGTGTTTCTTAGTTTTCCAGAGCACTTCCGGATTCAGCAGCCTCCGCCACCGCGAGAAACCGTATCGTCCGAATCTGCTGTGCACATCGAAGGGTGTGACAGGACAAGCCTACAGCAAGCAGCGGCCAAGCTCGTTCGTGTGCAGCTTGCTGCATGGTGAGCATTTCGCTCGCATCACGCACCTACCTCGCACTCACCTCGCGCAACCCAGTGAGAAGCTGAATTGGCTTGCTAGCTCCTAGCATGCTTTGCTCACCCTGCAGTAGTGCGAGCATCATGCAGTGAACCGTGGCTCTGTGCTCTGGATGTCTTCTTTGGTTAAGCTTGAACCTGCTATTTTTGGGGCTCCTCACCACGAGCAAAAGATCTAGCCCCGTCGCCCTGAGTTTCTGCGGCAGCCCAGCGGCGGAACTGGACGAAGAACTGGCATCCGCATCGCGGCTGTAGCTGTTGTGAACGACCTCCTGCACCTCCTGGCTGCCGAAAGCAGGGTGCTTGTGGTGGGGTGGGAGGTGCAGATACCCTCTGTGTCGTCTGAGCCTTTTTAGACTAGATGCTGCCTAGGCAAACTTCAACCCCTTAGCTCATGGCTGGTGCGCCTTTGGGGGCTCCGCGAGGCCCTCCTCTTGACAACAGCTGCTGCTCGTGCCCATCACTTTGGAGGTCCACGAACACGAAGCGCCATGGCAACGACGGGCTGCAATAGCAACCGAGGTCTTAGCAGTTCCACCACCTACCCATGTTCAGCTGCCCTTGACAGGTAGGCGCACACAATCTACGGTTGCTTCGTTCGCTTGTTTGTTGCGCTTGTTTGGGCTGCAGCAATGGGAAAAGTTTCGGCGTGGTGCACCCAGCTTGCACTCAGGCTGCACTTCCTGAAGCTGGGTCGCTGGGTCAAGGGGGCTCCCACAACGATCCCCGATATTTTTTTTGCCATGAAGCTCCACCGCTGTTCGGCACGTCATCAGACAAGTCGGCTGCCGGGATTCGGCTGGCCGAAAAAGGCAGCATCCAGAAGTCCCACTGTTTGGAACTCGGGCCTCGCAAACCTGTACCCTGCAGCCCGCAACAACCAGCTCCTACCTTACTGACTTCAAGCCACTGGTGCCCTATCCTGCGCCTGGCCTTGGCAGTCCGGGCCTGTCGTCCTTTCCTTGCCTTTCTCGCTGCAGGGCCTCTTCCCTGCGAAGAAGGATAAGGCGAGGATGGCCGCCAACACCGCCAGGCAGGTCCACACAACGGCCAACGACAGGCTGGTCGTATATGCCGCTCGGCTCGCGACTTGGCCCGCATAGTACAGGACGAAGAAAACAGCAAATATCACTAAGGTCTGCAGATAGTCCAGCATGCCGGGATAGATCGGGGCGGCAAACCGATCACAAAGGTAAATCAAAATCCGCAACATTGCCAGAAACCAGCAAACGTGAAAACCGAAGCTACTTGCCACAAACTCAGACAAGATCAGTTGTCCATCCACGCCACAAAGCCACGAGGACACCAAGGGGTCTAGCGAGGTACAGAACGTCACTGAGACCACCATGACGAGATACCGTAGGGGGAAGGTAGACTTGCTGCTACGCAGCAATCCCTCTCGCAAGGGCCCCCGGACATACTCTGTAAAGGCGCTCTTGCTCCCGTACCACTCCACAATGGCTCGGTGGATGAACTCTCGGTCAAACTCGTTGCGGCAATGCGCCTCCTCGAGGTCGAAATGCCGCAGGTCTGAGAGTAGCTGATGCTTCGACATGTTGTTTCGACGCAGCAAGTGCATGAGAAGCATGACGGGAGTCAGCCTCGCACTGTCTTGTCTCTCGAGATCACAACCGCAAGCACCACCCACTTTAAAACCCGCTCTGCTCTACTAAGCCCACCGGCGCCCGTTTACGCAGGACGCAGGATGAGTCTAAGCAGTAAAATTTCAAATTGTTTTGGGGATATGTTCGGCAGACCCCTCTTTTTGAAAATGCCCACTGCAACGGCAGATCTTCCACGGGACCGCGTGACCAGCTAGTACGCACCGATGAAATCCCTTCAGACTTTGTGGCACCTTGTTACAGCCCGCCCGTTCCGGCACACTTCACAGATCATCTGCATGATGCGGCGGTTACGCCAGCAAGGCAAACAGATAACGCGGAGCTTGGCCACGACTCTGGTTCTCACTTGATGGCTACGGCTACACATATAATTAAACCTTCAAACAATGCCTAACAGTTCACTACCCCAAACCTGCTCCATGGACAAGAGGCGAAATGACGTAGACCGTGAACCTTGCAACTTCTTGCAGGACGGTGATCATGGAGAAAAGGAGGGCCACGAAGTATGTGAACAGGATGGTGAGCAATACACCTGTTTCCACAAAGACCGGCGAGACGACGATGCGCCCGCCCGGGTTTGCCATCCGGTAGGCTGCAAGCTCGAAAACGCACCATAACCTCCATTGACGTGTTTAGGGTTTAGGGTTTAGGGTTTAGGGTTTAGGGTTTAGGGTTTAGGGTTTAGGGTTTAGGGTTTAGGGTTTAGGGTTTAGGGGTTTTGGGTTTTGGGTTTTGGGTTTTGGGTTTGGGTTTTGGGTTTTGGGTTTTGGGTTTTGGGTTTTGGGTTTTGGGTTTTGGGTTTTGGGTTTTGGGTTTTGGGTTTTGGGTTTTGGGTTTTGGGTTTTGGGTTTTGGGTCGGATGCCCTACCCCGAAAATTATAACAGCGACTGCCAGCGAAGACCCCAAACAGAATGTCCGAAACTACCCGCGTCCTGAGATTTGTGTGGCAGAAGCCACACAAGATGGTGTCATGGGTCGAACCCACCCGTGGGCGTGATCACGTGAAGTCCAATAAATCCCATGGCCCATCATCAAATCTGGCCCTGCTCCGCTAGCTAGCCCAAGCTGATGCCCTAGCAGATTTTGGCTCAATCTGTTCTTTGGGTCTCAGCACTCGACAATGAGCAGCTCTTGTTTAGCACAGACGACATCGCATATATTTGCTACTTGCCCAATAAGAAGCCAGAACGGAAGAAAGGGATAGCCAAATGGGAGCCCGGCCCAAAAAGCCAAAAAGAAAGGGAGATGGAAAGCCAACCCGATGGGAGCCCACCCATCTGACCCGGCAACCAAGCAAGCCCAACCCCGTCGGCGCCTCCCATCCGAATCATGAGCCCCAAGCGGAAACATGACAGCCACTCGCCAACACAGGTACCAGAAAGGAAGCCACGAAGAAAGCCAAAGCTCCATTTCTGACCCACCGGAAGGAAAGGGAGCCATGAAAGGAGCCCAGTCGGTGCGTGACCCCACGCATTTCACGAAGTTCGGTCGCTGCGGCCCACCCATCCGGCCACCGCAGCCCGCAAACGTTTCTGAAGAGAGAACCCCGAACCATGCCTGCTTGGGGAAACACACACACACACACACACACACACACACTTTGGCTTGGCATGAACTGATGCAGTGATCACGATACCAACATGTACCAACCACCAGACCCACAACACACTCAAGAGGAGTCAAGAAGAAGGGAAGAATGAAAAGGAGCATGGTTGCCTGCCTCGAGCGGCAGCTCCTGTTGCCAGTTGTGGTATCCAAGGCCCATAAATCCAAGGTGCTGGCGATCCAAGGCACAGCGGCGCGATCATCGAGATGGGAATTTTGGGACTTCAGGGTACATGATGTCACAAAAAGTGTGGTGGATACCAGCTGCAACGGCGTTGCCCAGGTACTCCACACGCAGGTACGTCCAGGTGATCAGCCTGGATATCCTCCCAACTCATAAGCAGCTTCATTGGCAGTGAGCGTATGAGCGGGTCACTGCCCCCTGCAAATGGAAATGTCAGTCACAGCGATCACCATGTTCAGGCGTTTACACACACACACATGCCCCGAAGGGCGAAAGGACGCGAAGAAGCAAGCTGGTGTCAGCAAGCCAGTCATGAACAGCAACAAGAGAGGAGGCAGAGACAACAAAACAGGAACGACACCAGGAGGCAACAAGAAACGCGAAAACAACAAAACAGGGGGTCAGACAGCATCATGGGAGGACAGTCAATGACATGTCTGTTTAAGGATTCCGGATACCTTGAGCGCGTGCCTACCTGGTCCTCCTACCTGCACATGCACAGACGATCTACCTGCACTCCTAGGGAAAGCACATGTTCAGCAAGCTGTCTCTACTGATCAACCCTTGACCGCGGCCCTTGACCGTGCAGTGACCGATGATCCCGATGAAGCCCACTGTGGGCACATGTCATCCTACTGCAGATGATCCCGATGGATGAGAACAAGCGTCTGCAACGTTGTGATTCACTCATCCGCTATCGCGGGCTCGGGCACATGCCCCTGAGATCTGGCCCCATGTCGGGAAAAACCAGAACTGGTACACACTTTGGCTTGGCATGAACTGATGCAGTGATCACGGTACCAACATGTACCAACCACCAGACCCACAACACACTCAAGAGGAGTCAAGAAGAAGGGAAGAATGAAAAGGAGCATGGTTGCCTGCCTCGAGCGGCAGCTCCTGTTGCCAGTTGTGGTATCCAAGGCCCATAAATCCAAGGTGCTGGCGATCCAAGGCACAGCGGTGCGATCATCGAGATGGGAATTTTGGGACTTCAGGGTACATGATGTCACAAAAAGTGTGGTGGATACCAGCTGCAACGGCGTTGCCCAGGTACTCCACATGCAGGTACGTCCAGGTGATCAGCCTGGATATCCTCCCAACTCATAAGCAGCTTCATTGGCAGTGAGCGTATGAGCGGGTCACTGCCCCCTGCAAATGGAAATGTCAGTCACAGCGATCACCATGTTCAGGCGTTTACACACACACACGCCCCGAAGGGCGAAAAGGACGCGAAGAAGCAAGCTGGTGTCAGCAAGCCAGTCATGAACAGCAACAAGAGAGGAGGCAGAGACAACAAAACAGGAACGACACCAGGAGGCAACAAGAAACGCGAAATCAACAAAACAGGGGGTCAGACAGCATCATGGGAGGACAGTCAATGACATGTCTGTTTAAGGATTCCGGATACCTTGAGCGCGTGCCTACCTGGTCCTCCTACCTGCACATGCACAGACGATCTACCTGCACTCCTAGGGAAAGCACATGTTCAGCAAGCTGTCTCTACTGATCAACCCTTGACCGCGGCCCTTGACCGTGCAGTGACCGATGATCCCGATGAAGCCCACTGTGGGCACATGTCATCCTACTGCAGATGATCCCGATGGATGAGAACAAGCGTCTGCAACGTTGTGATTCACTCATCCGCTATCGCGGGCTCGGGCACATGCCCCTGAGATCTGGCCCCATGTCGGGAAAAACCAGAACTGGTACACACTTTGGCTTGGCATGAACTGATGCAGTGATCACGGTACCAACATGTACCAACCACCAGACCCACAACACACTCAAGAGGAGTCAAGAAGAAGGGAAGAATGAAAAGGAGCATGGTTGCCTGCCTCGAGCGGCAGCTCCTGTTGCCAGTTGTGGTATCCAAGGCCCATAAATCCAAGGTGCTGGCGATCCAAGGCACAGCGGTGCGATCATCGAGATGGGAATTTTGGGACTTCAGGGTACATGATGTCACAAAAAGTGTGGTGGATACCAGCTGCAACGGCGTTGCCCAGGTACTCCACATGCAGGTACGTCCAGGTGATCAGCCTGGATATCCTCCCAACTCATAAGCAGCTTCATTGGCAGTGAGCGTATGAGCGGGTCACTGCCCCCTGCAAATGGAAATGTCAGTCACAGCGATCACCATGTTCAGGCGTTTACACACACACACACACACACACAACTTTGAAAATTCGGGGCGCGCCTTGAGAGATACGGAGCGGACCAAAGTACCCTCAGCTCCCGCGACATGCGCAAAAACCCACCGAGGCCGTATATTCCGCGCTCCATGAGCTCGTTGTCGACCTGACGGGTACGACAAGCAAACGCATCCGCCGCAAGAAAGCAAACCCCATAGGGTGCTGAAAATATGCTGGCGTAAATCCCAAACAGTGATCAAGACGAACTGAGCTCAAGGTTTCGCACAAAAGTTATGCCAACTGAGTTGTCCCCGAACAAGGAATGTCGAATCTCATCTGCTCGAACATTTTGGAATTCGTTGTGAAGTGCTGGGTCCGTATTTATGCCCGTCCCCTACATCCACGACGTCACAAGGCTCAGTTGAACCTAACCGTTGTATGGCAAAGTACACGAAAGTCAAGTTGAGCATGAAAAGAACAGAAACGACACGATGCAACTTGCTTCATCATCCTTGTCGGCTCCCTCTTGCTCCTGGTGGCTTGAAGCACGCAGGTTTGACATTTCTTGATCCCAAATGGAGCCATCTTAAGCCCTGCATTTAGTGCTTCGTTGAAACCCCTCCTTAGAGGGTGCTCACAGTTTGGGCCACGCCAGGGCCTGATGGATGCTGACCACGTCCAGAAAGCAAAGAGGATCACGGCCGCCGAGGCTCGGGCAGTATGGCACCAACATCAGGGCCAGAAAGGAACCCGCAAAGGCCATGAGAAGACACCAGGGAAAGAATGGGCATGTTAAATGGGCCAACTCTTCGAAGTCGGATGGGAGGTCGAATGGCAAAGGCAGCCACCGCTGCATGCTCAGCACGACGGCGACTGTAACGCCCAGACTTTGCCCAAGCAGCATGTGCTTCCAGCCTGCTTGGAAGAGCAGACTCAGGACTTTGTACCTGACACCATCAGTGCCGAGCAGGTGCCAAGCAGGTGCCAAGCAGGTGCCAAAGTAGGCAAACCCTTGTCAAACATACTCAAACATGATGAACCTCCCTAGGAACAGCTCGCTAGAGCCCTAACTCGCATGGCCTCGCCTCCCAGGGGTCATCCAGGTGTGGGAAAGGAAGACATCAAATTCCTCCACGGGCACGGAGAGGTCGTAGAGCCCCAGGCGTGCCTCAACGGCTCAGGAGGGATATTGAAAACTTCAAAAATCTGTTTAATCTGTTTCTGGGAGCGTTTTTGCGGAATACCTTGCAGTTTTCACGGGCTTTGCTTTCAAAGGCACTTGAGGTCTTTGGCAACTCCGGGGTCTGGGGGATATACTCGCAGACGCGCCTGTTCGTGGAGGTCGACGGGCGAGCGGCGCCAAAGCTCGCCCAAGGATCGCAGGGAGGCCTGGTTTAGGGTTTAGGGTTTCAGGGTCTTGGGGTTTTGGGGTTTAGGGTGTAGGGTCTAGGGTTTAGGGTGTGTAGGGTTTAGCGTTTAGGGTCTAGGGTCTCGGGATTAGGCTTTAGGGCTTAGGGCTTAGGGATTCTGAGTCTTGGGAGGCGCGGAGGAGTTGTGACAGCTGAAGCCCCAGGTCCATGCCTGGACCCCTAAACCCTGAACCCTAGACCCTAAACCCTAAACCCTAACCCCTAAACCCCAAACCCCAAACCCTAAACCCCAAACCCTAAACCCCAAACCCTAAACCCTAAACCCCGAAAGGCCGGCCGTCCTGGAGTGGAATGCCCCGCAGGATCTCTGCATCCACCTGTGCTTCAGCCCAGACTCTCCTTATGTGGGGGAGGTTTACATAGGGGACCCCCTAAAATAGACCGCAAAACAGTTTAGGGTTTAGGGTTGAGGGTTTAGGGTTTAGGGCTTAGGGGGGGTTTATGAACACAGCCCCTAAAGAGTAGACCCCCAAATAGTAGGATTCCCTGATAGTAAGGACCCCCCAAAACAGACAGCAAACTAGTAGGATTCCCGTACAATGAGGACCCCAATAAGGTTCCCCATCTTCGGAAAACTCCTCGAGTCGCCTTCAACCAGCGACTGGTCCTAGCCAACACCCTAAACCCTAAACCCTAAACCCTAAACCCTAAACCCAAAACCCTAAACCCTAAACCCTCCGGGGGTTCGGGGAGTTCAGGGCCTTAGGGCCTATGCGAACCTCAAGGTGCCGCATGTGCTGCAGTCGGCTCCACTTGCCTGGCGAGGAGAGCACCAGTCACATTCGGGGCCGCGCAGATTTATTGGGACGACAGCTGGAGGCTCCAGGGGGCTTGTTCTTTTTGAGCGTCCCCTTTTGAGGCACCTTCAGCAGTCAGCGTCCCTTACCCCCCCATGTAGTCATGTAGTATCCCCACTGACAAACGCAACCCAGGCGGGGGGTGTTCCGCAGTGTTGCTCGAAGGATCACCCCCGTGCTAACTCTGCCCGGCTGCTGGGAACACGCGAAGCCGACAGCTCATGGGCGGCTTCAGCACGTGGTTCCGCCTCCTAAGATGCTGTGGCTGTGTGGCCAATGTGCGCGCTGCAAGGAGTTACAACTTACAATTGTCAAGGAAAGGAACGACCCTCTGGGGCAATAGTCTTAGGAGGTGCCTTGTGAAGGGTCCTTATATTCTAAGGGTGATCCTACCATCTGGGGGGTCTGTAGCAGGGGGCCGCTTATTATCATAAACCCCGACATCTCCCACGGGATCAAAAACATCAAGCCCAGGCCCCACCGTACTTTCTCAAGCGGCATGAACATCTAGCCCGTGCTTCCTTTCGCCTTGTGCACGAGTTCCTCGCCAACCCGAGAACCCCAAACTCAAAGACCGTAAACTTCTATCCCTGAACATCAACACCCCCAAGCCCGGCCCAAGCCCTCAACCCTGAACTCATCAAAACCCTCAAGGTCACGAGACTGGTTGAAAAGATCTTCTGTGCCCAGGGGCCGAGTGGGGCGGGTCGGTGTAGCTGCTGACGACCTCTGGTGGCTCCTCATCAAGGGCTTCGGGGCTTTTTGTTGGGTTTTCCCTGGAAGGGCTTGTTTGTGGTCCAAGACTTCGGGTTTAGGCTCACAACCTCCAGGCACCAAACTCACCAGCACATGCTCTCCTTTGGGCCCTCTGTCAGGTCTTCTTCTGCACAGCAGCTCGCGCCAAGCCCCATGACAGCGCAGAGGCTCCAGATTCAGAGCGCACAGCTGCCCGGTGCAAAGGTTTTGTCCGGTATGGATTGGGCGTTAGGACTTAGGGCTTAGGGTTGAGGACTGCTTGCAAAGTCGTCAAGTACTTTCGAGCCAGACGGCTTGCGTCACTGTTTCGTTAAGAGCCCCGCACTCGCACCCAGAGAAAGACGCAACATTCGCATTCCAGAGCCCTCCCAGCATGGCCTGCTTTGCAGAGTGCCAATGGACGGGAATCCCAGCGTGACAGTCGTACACCACCTTGAGCGATGCTTGAGTGCACGTGCGGAGGACTCTGTAGTCAGCCGGTTGGACCGAAGGAAGTACATGCCCATTCAGCTTTCCACATCCCTCAAGTCAGATGATGCTGCCGAGGGGGCCGAGTCTGGGCAGGCGACATCGTACTTCTTGCAGCAGAAGTACCTGGGCAAGCAGACCCAATCCTGGGAGCTCCTGGCACCCCCCCTTTCCCAATCCCCTGCACGCACGTCAATTGCCAGAGACAGCAGTCCAGGCGGCTTTTTGGACTCGCTCCAACCATGCCGCCAGTTCGAGACCTGTGGCACTGACTGGGGCAGGAAGACCCACACATGCGCTCATGTCAGGCCGGCAAGAAAGTCCATAATATCATTTACTTCCATCATCCCGTTACAGCTAGCCGATGGGGAGCCATCCTGCCATTTTCAAACAACTACGTGCGGGTACTACGTTACAGGGACCGAAGTCTCTCCGGGTGGACCCTCCATGCAGGTATACTCGACGGGACCTTTGTGAGCGAATGTGGGGGGGGAGGGGGTACCCCTACACCCTAAACCCTAAACCCCCTTGAGGCGGGGAATGTTGTTATGGAAGAACCTTTAGCTTCCCTACACGGCCCCAACCCCTCGACCCCCGACGCCCTGCTTGCGTGATGAGGAATCGCAAGCCCTCCCTTTAGGGCCTGTCATCCGAGTACTCGGACGGATCAGAATTTGGGGTCTAGGGTTCAGGGTTTCAGTGTTTTGGGGATTAGGGTGTAGGTCTAGGGTCTAGCGTTTAGGGTCTAGGGTCTAGGGTTTAGGGTTCAGGGTTTAGGGTTTAGGGTTTAGGGCTTAGGGTTTAGGGTTTAGGGTTGAGCTCAGCCCGCCGCCCCAGCACGGCAGTCGTAGTCGTCCTTCGGGCAGCCCAGGGCCTTGGACGCAAGGTTTAAGGGTGTAGGATTTAGGCTCTAGGGTTTAGGGTTTGGGGTCTAGGGTTTAGGGTTTAGGGTCTAGGGTTTAGGGTTTAGGGTCTAGGATTTAGGCTCTAGGGTTTAGGGTTTGGGGTCTAGGGTTTAGGGTTTAGGGTCTAGGGTTTAGGGTTTAGGGTCTAGGATTTAGGCTCTAGGGTTTAGGGTTTTAGGGTTTTAGGGTTTTAGGGTTTTAGGGTCTAGGGTTTTGGGTTTTGGGTTTTAGGGTTTTGGGTTTTGGGTTTTAGGGTTTTAGGGTTTTAGGGTTTTAGGGTTTTAGGGTTTTAGGGTTTAGAGTTTTAGGGTTTTAGGGTTTTAGGGTTTTAGGGTTTTAGGGTTTAGGGTTTTAGGGTTTTAGGGTTTTAGGGCTTTAGGGTTTTAGGGTTACCTCTGAAAAGTCACTGCTTCAAAGTACTCCTGGAAGGGATGTGGAGGAAGGGGAGTTTAAGGAGGGGGTAGGGGGACCATTTGACCCAAGCGCTACAGGATCCCCCCCTCAATGGTAAGTCATGGTAGAGACTTGGTAGGGATGCACGGGGGATCTGGGATGCGGGTGAACCGTTCGTGTGTTCGCGTGTTCACGTTCAGAGCCGTCTGAACCCTTGACCAGAGGTCTGAACCGAAGCTCGGTTCACCCCGGAGAACACTCAAGTCAAGCGTCGTGCTTTCGGCAGCACCAGGTCCGCTTCGCCTCAGGCCAGGTGTCCTGTTTGAAGTACCAAAAGCCTCGGCTAACCTCCTCTCGACTCTGAAAGTTGTTACTGGTGATCCCCCGCCTTCTATAAGTCCTTATTAGGTGACGCGGACTGTCGACAAAGTATTAGGGCACTGTGTAGAACCCCAGGTCCTGGCTTCCTGCGTAGCAGTCGTCGCCTCCGCTCATGGAAAGATGATCAGATACTGTGCACCATTGGTGAATCCTTTCATGATAGCTCTTGCCCACCATGCCTACCTGGTCCTATCCCGCTCTTAACGGCTTCTCACTTCGCTGCTTCATCACCTGCGTTGGTCTCGTCGCGGCTCTTGCTGTATCAGGACCAGAAAGTAAGGCTTGCTGACCTGGTTTAACATCCCGCGGAAGTACCGGGAGCATGACCCAAACGCAAGACGACTCCAAAGCCTAAGGGGGGGGGGGCCCAAGACCCAAGACTCTCCGCCCAGGCCTGGGCAGCCACGCTGCTCGTGCGCACAGCAGTAGGCTTTCTTGGCCTCGCCCAGGCCCCCGCAATTTCAACTGAGCTACTCTTCAGACTCCCGTGTTTTACTCCCGAGTTCTTGCGACCATGGTGGCAGTCGCCAGCACAAGCCCCTTATACCCCCCTGTTTGCCTCAAGCCCCGCCTCGGACCAGGCCTTCTGCCAGTTGTTGAACGCTGCATCGCAGTCAAACCTGAAGGAAGAGCACACCCAGAAAGGCCCTGCGAAATGACTCACCCGCGTCAGGGTTCCAGCTGGGATGCTACTCCCAACAGCGCGTGACCATGGCAAAAATGACGATTCGATGAAAAGGGTCAGGGGCCGTTAGGGGCCTGGACTTCATGCATCAGTGCATCAGGCTTCGCCTGCAGGAGCTTCACCGCGTAGTTTCTTGGGGTCAACTAGGACGATACCCCGTTACAGACAGCGATGCCGACTAGGACAATAGTCTCGCACGGCAACCGAATGGACGCTGCTCACTAGGCATGTCCCAATCAACGGACGATGCTATCCTTCTTGGCCTGTGCTAGCAACACTTTAGCAGAGTTCGGCTCAGGGCGTCGCGCCCGGCAAGGCCAAGTAAAACGCCTTCGCGCGCTACCTCCCGGCCGGTGTGGAGCTGGGACCCCCAGCGGCTTTGAGGCGACTTGGCAGCCCTTGCCGAGCTGGGCGCAGCACCAAGCCTTTCAAGAGTTCCGCAGCAAGAAGAAACACAAAAGGTGAGCATATATATGTGCATGTGGATTGGGAAAAGACATACATACGTATATGCATACATGCATAGCGACTCAAACGACGTAGACAAAGATGTTCTAGGTACACCGAAGATATGATCCTGCCCGTCAGCACTAGGCTGAGGCTTGCCCTACCGAAGATCACATTGGGCGATCCATTGCGGGCGCTGCATCCGGGTTGCCCACGAGCACCCACGACTCAGTTGAGGATTCAGCAACTTCGGCCGAGGCTCCTTCTTCTCAGCAGGCCAGGCAGTCTCCCAATGGAAGTAATCGACCGCGCAGTCGAACCTCGGATGCTCCAAGCTCACCCCCCAAACCTGGCTCCAAATCCACCCAAATCCATCCAGCCAAGCTTCATCGGCTGCACAGGATCTGGCCGCGGAGGGTTCAAGGTTGCCATTTGGACATGGGCGACGGCTGGTCCAGATTTCTAGCAAAGCTGAAGGTTGACTTTTGGGGATGGCACTTTCAGCTCTACTAACTCTAGCTCACAGACGCATGTGCTCGACTGCAAGATCCTCAGCTTTTTCTCCAACAAAAGCAGCAGAGTCAATCGCCCCAGATCCCAACGCAAAATCCGGGGGCCCGAAAACCGGGGCCATTCCATCCCACAGTCCCTTGAGGTCGGTTGCATGAGGCCTCTGTGCGTGTCGTGGTACATCCCGCGCCTGGCGACAGCACTCGGTGTCGAGAGGACAGGACACTTGCGACCCGCCTTTGACTTACAAGAGATGTCAAACTGGACTCTGCAGATGAAGCTGCGTCCCAAAAGCCCCAAATGGCCCCCCAGGATCCCGAGAACACGGGGATGCAGGGTGGTGGCAGACAAGGCTGTCCTCTAGGGAGCTACCCTAAACCCTAAACCCTATTCCCTAAACCCTAATCCCTAAACCCTAACCCCTAACCCCTAACCCCTAAACCCTAAACCCTAATCCCTAAACCCTAAACCCTAAATCCAGCCCACGCCTCCAGAGGATGCCCACCACCAGCGAAGCAATGACACCGAGCAAGAGCACGCCACAGAAGCAGAGGCCTCTCGTTTGCGTGTGTGTGCGTGTGTGTGTGCAGGGTTTAGGGTTCAGGGTTTAGGGTTTAGGGTCTAGGGTTTAGGGTTTAGGGTTAAGGGTTAAGGGTTAAGGGTTTAGGGTTTAGGGTTTAGGGTTTAGGGTTTAGGGTTTAGGGTTTAGGGTTTAGGGTTTAGGGTTTAGGGTTTAGGGTTTAGGGTTTAGGGTTTAGGGTTGAGGGTTTACGGCTTGCGATGTCTGCAACTTCTTGTGCTTGTGAAACTGCCCTTCGCGCTTTCTCGGGAACCTGCGACCTGCAGACTAGGACTCAGAATCAGAAGAACTTTGCATCTCCCTTCGCCAGCAATTCTTGCGCCAAAAGATGTCAAAAGATTGGGACATGCTTGGCCGAGTGGCAGCAAGGATTGCAGCGCCAGCCATAAACTGGATGCCGTTCACGGTCCCAACTGCCCCTGCCCTGCAATTCGGGGGGCACAGCGCTTTGGGCAGCTGATTGGGGCTTCCTGGGACCGAGAGAAGTGAGGAGACTTTGCTTCCGGATTCAGTTCGCCTCTGCTGCTCTCTTGGGCACATACACCTGTAAGCCTCTTTCCAAGGTAACCAGCTCCCTTGAAAGCTGTGCCTGGCCAACGAAGTGCATGTCCTCCAGATGTGGACATGCAGAAGTAGAGCGCACGTTTTTTCAACCCAGCAGAGATCTGCAGAATCCGACCTCTACCAGGAACCTTGATACTCCGGTCTCGCAGCAACATCTGAGGCGCTGCTGGGAGAGACGACTTCTGGAATCGATGTCCATGTTCACGTTCTCATCTGCTTCAT